TGGAATCATTAGTTCAGAGAAGCTCTCTGCTCGTTCTCCTGGCAAGAGAGCGGACATTGCCTGACCAGTAATATTTCATTGTGCTGCAAGAGTTTTTTCAAGAGTTTGTCTTGAAGGGAAGTCACTGGAGTGTTTGGTGCCATATTCAGCTGATGAGGCTTCAACTCTCCTAGAACTTGAACCCATTGTAGATCTCTTTGTTGTTGTTCAGTCGCACAGTCGAGTCTGACTCTTCGCGACCCCATGGACCAGATCACGCCAGGCCTTCCGGTCTTCCGCCGTCCTCTGAAGTTGGCTCAATTTCATGTTTGTTGCATCTATGACACTGTCTAGCCATCTCATCCTTTGCCGTCCCCGTCTCCTTTGACCTTCAGTCTTTCCCAGCATCAGGGTCTTCTCCAGGGAGGGCTCCCTTCTCATTTGGTGGCCAAAGTATTTGAGCTTCAGTTTCCTTATCTGGCCTTCCAGGGAACAGTCAGGGTTGATTTCTTTTAGGATTGACTGATTTGATCTTCTTCCAGTCCAAGGGACTCTCAAGAGTCTTCTCCAGCACCATAGTTCAAAAGAATCTATTTTTCGGCGCTCGGCTTTTCTCTAGATCTCTAGATCGGGTGTAAATAAAATATTTTTGTCACAACTGCCTCAATTTGCCTGGGCCATCTGGGGACCCTATTCTGAAGGAGCTGTCAGAGGCTCTGTTGGAAGGCAGGGGAGGGAATCTGGCATCAATTATGGCAACTGGGGGAGCAGGGCCTTCTCTGTGGCGGCACCACGATTGTAGAACAGCCTTCTAGGTGGCCTCTCTCTGGTTATGTAGATGCCACACAGAGACACTTGTCATAGCATTTGGTCCAGTTGCTGATAACTATCTTGTTTCTGTTTTCCCCCCCTTTTGTTAGAAAAGGTTCTAAATCTTGCATTTAAACATTTGTATAGAGTCTGAATTGCTATTATTGGGGAGGGTTTGCTGTTATTATGAAATTTGAATGATCTTGTTACGATATTTATATTCTGGGGTGTGGGTTGTTGTTTTTTTTCTGTTTATATCCTGTAAATTATATTACCTGCTGTCAATGTTTTACATGTTTCTTGAATTGTATTGTTCTGTTTGCTGTCTTCGGTTTGTGTTTTTTGGGGTTTTGTTTTTATAAAGGCAGGATGTAAATATTTTCCGTAAGCAAACTGTCAGCTTTAAGAAGTAACATGCGTAATTTCTATAGAAGAATGGGCTGCTTACAGGGCAAGAGCGTAACCCAGAAGTCATTAACCAGTTGATTAACTTTTCTGTTTCAGGCCACCGAACAGAAAAACAAAGGTATGTTTCCTTACAAGTATTGCTGAAGGATACTGAATGTGGAGAAGTGCGGCCAGCTACTTTCTCAGAGCTGAGGCCTCGATATTTCCCAGTTTGGTATAGTGGTTAAGAGCGGTGGACTCTAATTTGGGAGAATCGGGTTTGATTCCCCGCTCCTCCTCCACATGCGGCCAGCTGGGTGACCTTGGGTCAGTCACAAGTTCTCTCAGAGCTGTTCTCTCATGGGCAGTTCTCGAGAGCTCTCTCAGCCCCCACCTACCTCACAGGGTGTCTGTTGAGAGGAGGGGAAGGGAAAGGAGTTTGTAAGCTGCTCTAAGACTCCTTTGGGTAGTGAAGGGTGGGTTATAAATCCATTCTCCTCCTCCTCCTTCTGGCTTCAGGCAAGATGGAAAGGCAGAGGTGGGGGGCAGTGAGGGTGGCAGTCCCCAGAGGAGCCCCCAGGCATTCCCACCCTGGCATGCTTTGGCCGCTTCTATTTGCCGTGCTGAGGGAATCCTGCTTGTGCTTTGTGGGCTCTGGCCTGTGGGCGGGCGTAACCCCGGTCGCCTAGGGCAGGCGGTCACTTGGAAGCCGGTCAAGGAATATTGACGTTTTGCCAAGGGGGTGGGTGCTAGGGCTCCGTGTGGCTGAGGGGCTCGCTCCACACACGAGAATACTGATTCTGAGTGCTCTGGAAAGCAGCACGTGACAGGGCAGGCAGTGTCCTCCTGCGTCTCTCCCAACATCTGACGGCACTTTGCAACTCTCAGCCTCTGTGTCTAGGTGGAGTTCTTGAGGCTACTGAGCTGTCTTTCGTGAATTTGTGCCACCCAGTTTTGATGGTCTTGCTGAAGAGACATGGGAGGACTTGCTGTGACCTTTGCCGTTTCTGCCCCAATACGGGTTGACCTGCCCCTCACCCAAAGCCCTGGATGGAAGCAAGTTTGTTGCCAGAGGTCTGGTGGTTTCAACTCCAGACGCGCTGTTCGGCCTCTCCCTGCCAGACCTTCATTTCTGTACCCACCGTTTCCTGCTCCCTTCTCTCCCCTCGGTCATGGCCCCTCACAAGAACACATGAAACTGCCCTATACGAGAGTCAGGCCCTCACCCTTTCCTGAGTGGCACTGAGCTCCAGACTCTGGAAGAAACGCAGCCGTCCTCGCTTTTCTCCCTGCCCCACGGGGTCTTCTGAGATAGGTCGCGTATTGCCGCCCTCTAAGCTGCCTTTGAGCCTGGAAACTGGAGACTCTCTGCCAGGAGAGCTCGGCTTTGAACGTCACTTATACATAAAAACCTTTTACCCGAGAGGTGGGCAGCGGCTTGATAAATACCAGCTCTGCCCTGCCGTGGTCCCGGATCCTGCTTGTGCTTTGTGGGCTCTGGCCTGTGGGTGGGCGTAACCCCGGTCCCCTAGGGCAGGCGGTCACTTGGAAGCAGGTCAAGGAATAATGACGTTTTGCCCAGGGGGCAGGTGCTAGGGCTCCATGCGGCTGAGGGGCTCACTCCCCACACGAGAATACTGATTCTGAGTGCTCTGGAAAGAGGCATGTGACAGGGCAGGCAGTGTCCTCCTGCGTCTCTCCCAACATCTGACAGTCGGCACTTTGCAACTCTCAGCCTCTGTGTCTACGCGGAGTTCTCGAGGCTACTGAGCCGTCTTTCGTGAATTTGTGCCACCCAGTTTTGATGGTCTTGCTGCAATACATCAGAAGGACTTGCTGTGGCCTTTGCCGTTTCTGCCCCAATATGGGTTGGCCTGCCCCTCACCCAAAACCCTGGATGGAAGCAAGTTTGTTGCCAGAGGTCTGGTGGTTTCAACTCTGTTCGGCCTCTCCCTGCCAGACCTTCATTTCTGTACCCACCTTTTCTTGCTCCCTTCTCCCCCCTCGGTCATGGCCTCTCACAAGAACACATGAAACTGCCCTATACGAGAGTCAGGCCCTCGGTCTATCCAGGGCAGTATTGTCCACTCTGGCTGGCAGTGGCTCTCCAAGGTCTCAGGCTGAGTTCTCTCCCATCACCTCCTGCCTGGGTCTTTTTAACTGGAGATTCCAGGGTCTGAACCTGGGACCTTCTGCATGCCAAGCAGACTCTCTGCCACTGAGCCACAGCCCCTCTTGACAGCTCTCCAGGGTCTCAGGTGGAGGTCTTTCACATCACCTCCTGCCTGGTCCTTTTTGACTGTAGATGCTGCCGGGGACTGAACCTGGGACCTTCTGCATGCCAAGCAGAGGCTCTGCCACTGAGCCACAGCCCCTCTTTATAACTCTTCAGGGTCTCAGGCGAAGGTCTTTCCCATCACCTCCTGCCTGGTACTTTTTTACTGGAGATGCTGGTGGGGATTGAACCGGGGACCAAGCAGAGGCTCTGCCACTGAGCCACGGCCCCTTTTTACAGCTCTCCAGGGTCTCAGGCAGGGAAGTCTTTCACATCCCTTACTGCCTGGTCCTTTTAACTGGAGATGGCGGGGATTGAACCCGGGACCTTCTGCTTACCAATCAGAGGCTCTGCCACTGAGCCACAGCCCCTCTTGACAGCTCTCCAGGGTCTCAGGCAGAGGTCTTTGCCATCACTTCCTGCCTGGTCCTTTTTAAAGGAAGTTGCTGGGGATTGAAGCTGGGACCTTCTGCTTGCCAAGCAGAGGCTCTGCCACTGAGCCACCCCTCTTGACAACTTCCCAGGGTCCCAGGCGGAGGCCTTTCCCGTCACCTACTGCCTAGTCCTGCCAGGGATCGAACCTGGGACCTTCTGCATGCTGAGCAGAGGCTCTGCCGCTGTCCCCTTCCCTCTAGACAAAGTGGGCTTTCCTTTCCATTGCCAGAGCAGTGTAACCTGTTAATGTGGCCACTGAGCGGTTAGGAGAGCTCCCAGACGTTCTATCACAGCTGCTTCGTCATCCGGGGAAGGGGGGAGGCTTTTTAGTGGGGGTGGCAGCCTCCTTTGAGAGACCACTGTGCAAAAAGCCGTGTCGCCGAACCACCCCTTTTTATGAGCATGGAGGATTCCATGCTGGCCGGCTGACTTTTATGTGTGCAAGCCGCCTTGAGCTCCGTAAGGGAGAAAGGATGTTTTAAGTCAGTGACTGATGCTCTCGTCTCCTCTCCTCTTCCCCGCAGTGCCAGAACCACCCAAGCCCGGTGTCTCGAGCCCACCTCTGCCCGTTGCCTCCGGTCCGGCTGGTCCTTCCACGGCGGCGGCGGCAGCTAGTGGCGGTGGTAACAACAGCAACAATAATGCCCGACGGCCTGCAGGCAGCCACCCGCAGCCGGCTCAGCAGCAGCAGCAGCAGCCTTCTCCTCGCTACCCGCCCCGCGAAGTGCCGCCCCGGTTTCGGCACCAGGAGCAGAAGCAACTTCTGAGGCGCGGGCAGCAGCTGCCGGGGCTGGCGGCGAACCTGGGGGCGACGTCGAAACAGCCGAACGGCCTGCCAGGGGGCGGCCCAGCCGCGAGCGAGCAGCCGGCCTCTGTCGGCGAAGGGCAGCAGAGCGGCAGCCAAAAGCAATCAGGTGAGAGAGGAGGGGGAGCGGCGGGGACCGTCTTGTCATGTGTGGAGCCCACCTGGGGGAGCGGTCGCTCCTCACACAAAAGCCCAGGGGGAAAGCCGGTGGTGAGCCTGAAGACCCCTCTCCTCACCGGTTTCCAACCTGACCTTCTCTCCTGAAAGCTGATGCTCTCCTTAAGAACATAAGAACATAAGAGATGCCAATGTTGGATCAGGCCAAAGGCCCATCCAGTCCAACACTCTGTATCCCACAGTGGCCAGAAATACCAGTGCCATCAGGAGGTCCACCAGTGGGGCCAGGACATTAGAAGCCCTCCCACTGTTGACCCCCCCCAAGCACCAAGATGACAGAGCATCACTTGCCCCAGAGTCCCTATCTATACCTTGTGGCTAATAGCCACTGATGGACCTCTGCTCCATATGCTTATCTAATTCCCTTTTGAAGCCGTCCATGCTTGTAGCCGCCACCACTTCCTGTGGCAGTGAATTCCAAGTGTTAATCACTCTTTGGGTGAAGAAGTATTTCCTTTTATCTGTTCTAACCCGACCGCTCAGCAATTTCATGGAGTGCCCACGGGTTCTTGTATTGTGAGAAAGGGAGAAAAGTACCTCTTTCTCTACCTGCTCTTTCCCATGCATAATCTTATAAACCTCAATCATGTCACCCCTCAGTCGTCGTTTCTCCAAGCTAAAGAGCCCTAAGCGCCTTAACCTTTCCTCATAGGGAAAGTGTTCCAACCCTTTTATCATTCGAGTTGCCCTTTTCTGCACTTTTCCCAAAGCTATAATATCCTTTTTAAGGTGTGGTGACCAGAATTGCACACAGTATTCCAGATGAGGTTGCACCATTGATTTATATAGGGGCATTATGATATTGGCTGATCTGTTTACAATACCCTTCCTAATAATCCCCAGCATAGCATTGGCCTTCTTTATTGCAGTCACACACTGTCTCGACATTTTCAGTGAGCTATCTACTACAACTCCAAGATCTCTCTCTTGATCAGTCTCTGCCAGTTCAGACCCCATCAACGTGTATTTATATTTAGGATTTTTGGCTCCAATGTGCATCACCTTGCACTTGGCCACATTGAACCCCATTTGCCATGTTGACGCCCACTGCACCTTCTGGTGCAGTGGTTAGGAGCGTGGACTCTAATCTGGGAGAAGCGGGTTTGATTCCCCACTCCTCCACATGCAGCTGCTGGCATGACATTGGGTCAGTCACAAGTTCTCTCAGAGGTGTCCTCTCAAGGGCAGTTTCTGTCAGAGCTCTCTCAGCCCCGCCCACCTCACAGGGTGTCTTGTCGTGGGAAGGGGGAGGGAAAGGAGATTGTGAGCCGCTCTGAGACTCCTTTGGGTAGTGAAGGGTGGGGGATAAATCCAATCCCTTCTTCTCTTCTTCTTGTCTGTGTGCAGTTCCATGCAAGTCCACCCAGGGCAGGCGCTTCCAGGGCAGGAGGCAGGCTTCCCCCCTCCCCTCCCCTCCCCTCGTGGTTTGCCCGCCTTCCTTCCCCTGGGGGAGAGCACGCCTCCCCTTCTGAGTCCTCTCTCTGCAGCCACAGGGAGAAGCACGCCAGGGAGTTTCTCCAGGCTTGGCAGAACATGGAGAAGAGGAGACTGGGGGGGACGGACACAATTGCTCTCTTTAAATATCTGTCCTTTGGAGGAGGGCCAGGAGCCGTTCAGAGTGGTTCAGAGGTGGAAAGCTGCCTAGAGAGGTGGTCATTAGCTCCCCTTCACTGGCAGCTTCCGAGAAGAGGCTGGACGGATATTTGTCAGGGATGCTTTAGGCTGGTCCCGTATTGAGCAGGAGGTGGGACTGGACGGTGTGTCTGGCCCCTTCCTACTCTATGGTTCTGTGCTTGTGCTTCCTCTGGTGGTTGGGGTGGGGGAGGCGCTGCAAGCGGGAGTGCCAGAAGGGGCCAGATGTCTTCCAGCCACGCCCCTTGGTGTTCTCATGGGCCCCCCCCTGCACGGAAGGAAGGTAGGTCCAAGGAGGAACAGCTGCGTAGGTGTGAGCACCAGTCTTCCCTCTCAGCTGAGTCAGTGTGAGCTTCCTCACAGTTTCTTAGCCTCTAGCTCACAGATTCTTGTCTTTGCTCAGGGGGGAGGGCTCCAGAGCAGTGTTCCCTCTAAGCTGACTTAGTGTGAGCTAGCCCACAGATTTTTAGCCTCCAGCTCACACATTTTTGCCTTAGCTCAGGAAGGATGGTTCCAGAGCAGACTGATTCATGCAGCAGCCAAATTGCACGCTCCCAACTTTAACGCCAGTAGCTCACAAACTAGAATTTTTGCTCAGCTCTAACCGCTCCTTGCTCCTAATGCCCCTCCGTTCCTTCTTCCGTGGTCTGGGAAGATAACTGCTAGAATGCACGGCTTGACTTCCTCCAGAGGTCAAGAGGCGGGGCATCCTAGCGGCCCTTGGTAGCTATTCCCACTCTGCTTTGCCTTCCTCTAAATCTCTTCTGTCACTGACTGCTGGCTAGAACCGAAAGAGCTGCTGACGCCCGTGCCTGGCTCCTCCCCGGTCTTTGAGCAGCTGGCCTTCCTGCCGCCCCGTGGAACGGCTTTTGAAACTCCCCTGGATTTCAAAAGCCGCTTTCTAGAAGTTTTCCCAGACAGGGGACAACCCTCTGGTGGTCCCTGCTGGGTGGGAATCTGGTGGCTTGCCTGGCTTGGGGGGGCTTCCCTCCTGCTTCAGGCCCTCTGGGTGCAGGTGCCTCCCAGCTGAGGGTTGTGGCCAGTGTTCCCTCTAAGCCAGGGGTGGCCAAACTTGCTTAATGTAAGAGCCACATAGAATAAACGTCAGATGTTTGAGAGCTGCAAGACATGAGCAAATATTACACATTTTTACTGGGAAATATGCAGATTTGCTTTTTATTAACACTAAATGAGACTGCCAAAAATAATAACAAAAGCGGTAAAAGCAGACATTGATAATGATATTTATTTGTCCAACGATGATTTAAGAACATAAGAGAAGCCCATGTTGGATCAGGCCAATGGCCCGTCCAGTCCAACAGTCTATGTCACACAGTGGCCAAAAAGACCAGGTGCCATCAGGAGGTCCAGCAGTGGGGCCAGGACACTAGAAGCCCTCCCACTGTTGCCCCCCCCCCCCGCACCAAAAAGAACAGGAGCACCCACCCCGTCCAGCGAGCTCCTATCTA